ATGCACAGAGCTATAATAACCTACAACAACAAAAGGGACTGAATAAGCCAGACGGATCTTGCTTGAATATCACGCTCAGAGGCAAATGTCATTAAAATTGTCTTTGAGCAAACCAAGAATCCAAGAGTGAAAGAAAAGGGCAAGTGGTTGTTAAAGCAAGGACAAATCAACAATCATATAACAGACTGAATGCCTTGTGCAATGCTCCCTACGTCTCCAGCAATGTGGATTAATAGCAGGTCAAAAGGTAAGGGGGAAAATATGGCGAACTATAACCAGACTAGCATTGATCTTAGCTGAGCTCCCATGGAATGGATGGAATGGGAATTGTGTTGGATATGTACCAATGCATCAAGTCAAACTAGGGTTGTAATTTCAGAATAACAGCAGGAACATGACCGTACATAGCTAACACACAAAACCTCAAATGGTATTGTCAGATAGTTTAAGGAAAATGTAAAACGAGGATGTTAGCTTAGATTAGCATGAACACACATAAAGTGGCGGGAAACAGTTAGCCTGGCGGTCTAACTCTGATGCTCAATAATTAACATGTTATATCGGGATTGTTCAAGCTGTACCAAAAATGGCCATATTGGGGGGAAGAAAATGTCAGTGATGTGAGCACAACAAACAACATTAAAAGTGATTGAGAGAACAAGGGATTGGGATATACTGTATGTTCCCTGGGTGCTCATTGTAAGATATTGCTGCAGTAAAAAAAAAAGAAAAAATAACAAAGGAGAAGGATGTTTCAAAGCAGTTTTTAAAGGTAAAAATCCATCCAGCAACTGTGGAGATACAAAAGTCTTAAGTCAAGATAAATGTCTTGCCAGTGTAGATTTGAAGGAATATGGCAATACCATTATGTGGCTATAAATAGGTGATTTATTGATCACACATGAACCATTTCACCAAAGGTAAAAACATATTTATGAGAACAGAAGAGCTTGCTTATCGCCCCTGTTTCTAGTCTTCATGCCAAGCTAATCCGTCTTCTTGCCCCAGTTTATTTTTTACATTTGACATTTTTCACAAGATCTCAGTACAAAATGTTCTAACACAATGAAAAACACTTTTGTTACTAATAAGGTTAATGGTTCTTTCTCTATGCATGTTTCACCTTACCATCAAGTTTCATGAAAGTGTATTAGTTTCTTTATAGTTTATTCAGCTAGTAAGATAACCTCCTTGGCGAAAATAATACTGTGTTACAAAAAGCAAAGTTTGTTCTGAACAAGGTGCATAGAGAAAAAGTGCATTAGCTCAGTAATTTAGGAGATTTAGGTATAAGCCAAAAATCTATGGAGCCTGTTCCGCACAACCACACATGTTGAGCCAAGTCATTTGATGTAAGACCTAGATTGGTTTGCAAACAGACTGTCAGTGTAATACGATGGAGAGTGCTGTTATCTCCTGATGAGCAGCCGCCACTAAAACCCATTTGATTAAGGCCTTTCATGCAATGCCGAAACTAAATCATACTTCATCAAACAGTGCATCACTAATACACTCTGCAATTAGCAAGAATTTGAAAGATCTGATAACACAACAATGACAAATATTGTATAGATCCCCAGGGAAATGGGTTTCGTGAAGGAAAATACAAAAATGAAAAGAAAATGTTTTTTGTGTAAGTTAAATGTACGAATCTGCAATAAAATATGAATTAAGATATCATATAAAACTAAGAATTTAAAGCATAAATGTCAAATAAAAACTAAAATAAAGAAAAATGAATACAATACATGCATAAAAAAGAAACGGGGGAATATTCTTGTTTCAGAAGTCAACAGTTTAAGAGATAAGTAAATGTTTTGCTCACAGAGAGAAATGAATGCACATTCATTCATGATCTATTCATATTTTCTTAATTATGCATTATTATATAATTACCCATTTGTGATACGATCATTAGCAACAGGAATTCATTATGTGTCTTGATGTAATTCATGTAATACATCATTATATTAGCATGGGATTTGAATCATAATTCTAAAGTTTAATAAGACAATCTTTTGCGACTAGTTTATACTTTGTATTCTGCAGGAGGAACATTTACAAAACAAAACACGAAGAGTCCGCCTGTGGAGAGACACACTGTGATGTTGAGTTTATAAAAAGATAATCGCTTTTCCTTCCTTTGATCACTTCAAACAAACTTTCATTCGGCTAAATTATATTGAGGTGTCAAAAACCCAAATATGATTTAGTCATAGTTCAATACTACGTCACAAAAGTATGGAAAGATATGTTTTCCTGATATGTGGATCCTTTAAATATTCTAATTGGCTCTATGTTGTCTCGTTCTTTTTGGGTAAGAAGGCATGTAACTGTGACACCAAATAAAAACACTGTTATGATGTAATCCAATGCAATGCAAAAACCTGCATTGTAATTTGTGTAAAAATGTCCTCTTTAAGATTAAAACGTAATGAAATACTTTATATTCAGAGAGATAATTCAATGTTTCACTCTGGTGTTATTTACATCAACTACACACTCGCCTTAGTGGAGGAGTTTCTAAGCAAAGTGGCACCATGCAGCAGTGGGGGGTTTGATGCCTTGCTCAATTACCCCTCGGCAGTGCCCATGAGGCAAGATGGCACCTCTCCAACTACCAGTAAGCACTTTGTATTTCGGTCCGATTGGGACTTTAACTGGAAACCCTTTAGTTCAAAAGCAAGTCCCTGCTAGTGCCACCCAAACACAAAACACTTCTTTCATAATTCCAAACAAAATTCTAGCAATGTTAATGCTCTGCAAAGTTTGATAATCCAGAAGGAGTTTCTCTCCCACACACTCCCCCGAAACACTTCCATTGGACTCCTTTGTTTTCGTCCGTAACATGGTGACATCACTATGTAACAGTCTCTCTTCTGGCTAGTGCTCCAACACTTTGTACCTGATAGGCAAGGGGCCGAATATCTCTAAGCTGTCAACCAATCACTACAGAGCCGGCCAGCTAACCAATCAGAGCAGACTGGGCTCTATCTTTCTTTCCAAAAAATTCCTGCAATAAAAAAATTAAGCAACTTCATGTAACCTGGAGTTTCACCATTACCATACAAAAGCAGACCAGTGTTTGAAATAATTAAGTCTTTAATTGTTGATTTGGGTTCAAATAATGCTGGTAGAATTGTGCCACAGGAGGTTTTCTATAAGGTGGTGTATACCGGACATAAATGTAGTCGCTAGTATGACTTCTGTATGTGTTCTGATCAACGTGTTAATAAAAGGGTTTGGTAGCCTTTGTTGTTGACAGACAACACGAGTCGTCTGGCAGCGAGGCTTTTTGGCCCTGGACCTTCTATCTACTGGGAAGCAACTCCCAGGATAAAGGCCTTCTATACTCAAATCAATATGTAATCACGGATCCCCTCTGTGACTAAGCTAATGCGCCTCCCACAGTGCTGCGAGACAAAGAGCTCACTGCTGAGGCTCAGGGCTCTTCCTAACGGCCGGAGTTTGGTTATCTTTCAGTTGAAGAAATATAAGAAAGCATTCAGCGGATCCCAAGAGTGAAGCTTCAAAGGTTGTCTATTTCCAGACTCCTTTGTTTACTTCAGTAAACATTTGTTTTCTATTGGCTAGCACAATAGTACATTGTATGTGGTTTCAGACAGAGGGTGAAAAGAGGTGCTGCAGCACAGGCAGTATGAGAAAAATAAAGCACTTGTTGATCATTGAAGCATGGACACGTTTCACAGTAGAGGCACAAAATACAAATATGAACCTGAAAATGAGCATATTATGTTATTTGGGAGGGGAAATATCAGTCTGAGGCGTTTTAGTGGGGAAGAATCTCCCTTGTGATTTTGGCCTTTGCAGACCATTTACACGAAAAGAAAACCTATATAAACACACTACAGGAAAGAGAAAACCCCAAAAAGCACAATACGCCCCTTCAACACGAGTGCCTACATGCATATTGTACTATTTTGTTGTTTATCATCATTATAATTCATAATTACATGATGTATGTTGACTCTCTCTTTGGGTCAGTGTTTTTCTAAGTGACTTTACGTTTACACATTTGAGCCAGTGCTGCTCTACTTATTAAAGAACCATTTGGCAAACATGACTGAGAATAAACACTTCACCAGCACCCTCTAGTGGCCATGATGCTACTGACACCAATAGTACAGATAAAAACATAAACACATTTAATCTTTAACGTATTAACTCTTTAATCCATATCAATGACAACCATTACTTTTACTCTGCTTACTTTAGCACAGTTATGTGTGTTTTTCTGTTAATATAAGTAATTAAATATTTACTTTTGTGTAGCAGCTGTGGCAGAGAAGAAGCAGTGTTGCCAACTTGTTTACTTTCTATCTAGATTAAAAGGTTATAGACCCAAGGCGTAAAAAAACGACTAAACTCCCAGTGAAAAAAAATAAACTATAAACCTTCATCGTTAAATTGAGTAGAATTACCTTACAGAATAAAATGTTTGCGTTTTAGATAAGGGTGCCCCCTTTTGTCCAGTACTAACTTTTTGGATAGATTTTGATCCTCAAGGTCTTACTAACCAAATCTGGAGTCGATCGGATTGAAACTGTAGTTCTTTCAGATGTTGGGCAGGAAAAGTTGCAAATAAAACTAAATGTGTCCGACTTCCTGATGTGTTAAGACTCCTTGGCTTTTTTGTGTGTCTCACCATACTTCACATGCCCACAAATGTTGAGATTTGTATTTGAAAGCAAAACGAGGGGCTGCTTGTTAGCACATTTGCATGGGTTGCTATAGAACCATTTTGCTTGCACCGATTATGACACCGTCCTGACAAATGGGCAAAAAACATCCAGCATTTAAGCATGTTAAGCCCATCAAGCAGCATCGAACAATTTCAATAGGTCCTCCACTTCGACTGTCTGTGCTCGGACCATAATGATATATCCATGGTGAATTAACTCCTACAAAGCACCCTCCTTTCCTTTGCTAACGTGAGCCATGCTTTTTTTGTGGATTCAAAAATGAGCATACAAAAATGTTTTATGTAAATGTAAAATGTTTATTTTCGTATCCAACAAATTACATAAATATGTATTTGTTTTACTCAAGAATGTCACTGAAGAGCTTCCGCTTCTTGGACTCGCCGCTCTGTATTTCCTGCCAATGGCCTCTCCTGTGGATGTAGTGGGAGAGGGCAAATTTGGCCCAAACATGGCGAGCAAACTGATCTGAGCGCAGCCTGCTATCACACGACACTGGAGGAGAATCACACAAATCCCAATTAGAAAAAAAACATGGGTGCAAGTATATATGATAATAAAAAAAAACACCTCTTAAATTCAGGATGCATGCGAAGATTTGTTACCTAATTCCTGAGCGATGTTGTGCCTGTGAGTGACCGAGGCGCTGTTCCAAACGGCTTCCAGCACCCGACTCCCCAACCTGGAGCAGGCCATGGGGACAAACTGGCCCTGGAGGGAAACACGATCAAATGCAGAGACAGTGAGGACTGGGTAGATAAAGTCCCTGTGTAGTTCATAATGTTCCATGTGTTCTTTACAAGATACTTTCAGGAGGAAATATTCCAGAGACTTTAAAACGTACTTTTAAGGGAAATCCCAGTTTCATTCTTGCAATATTTTTTATTACAGATTTGTTTCTTTTTATTCTATAGTGACACTTAACATTTTACTACTGCTCACAAGTCAATGCAGGTGAACATACCAATATGTTAAATGGAAATGTACAACATATTGTTTTAATAATGATTGGGATGTTCTGTATTTTTAATATTACTAATATATGTAAGCGATGTTTCTTTTGTTCTTTAAAAAAAAAAAATTATTTAAAAAAAACATTTCTTTTTCAGATTTATGGCATACAACATGGCATGTTTTTGGTTTTCCTTATACTGCCTGTAAAGGCATACCACACATATACAGGAAGTAACATATATTCTGGTGTATCCTATTGGAAACAGAGACAGAGATTTTCTCCTGAATTATGTTCATATTTTTTGTGAAGGAAAATATTACAATGTTCCATTCATTGGTCTTACAATTTGCAATTTTTAAATACATTTGAGATATTTATCGTCTTTCTACTTCTATGTAGGAATTCCCAATATCCTTGCACCTACAGTATGGAATGTGTGTATAACTAGAGTGGGAGAGAGAAGAGCTCTCGGGGTTGTTTCAGTGTCAGCAGCAGCAGCAGCAATGTGTTCTGTCAGTGTCACTCTGGATGAGGCCATGAAGGGAACAGCTGGAACAGTGGCTGCACCTAGCTCTGCACCGCACACCAACACTAATGTTTAGAGTAGGGGTCGGCAACCCCTGCTGGCACGCGGCACCGTAACCAGTGGCACACTAGGAATAAGTGGAATGAGTGTGCAAAATATTTAAATTGTATTTTCGGATCGTGAACGAGACCGCCGCCAGAGCGCGTCTCCCCGTTACCTGCAGAAGGAAGCCATGCACGCAACGCAGCCCCGCTCTCTTTAACTCCAGGTGACTTTCTGCCGCTTTCCTCCGTGGTGCAGTGCTGATCGTTTCACCACAGAGGAAAGCACTTCACTAATTGCAGTACCCATAAGGAGCTGTAAAAATCGGCATTTTTACAGCTCCTTATGGGTACTGCAATTAGTGAAGTGCTTTCCTCTGTGGTGAAACGATCAGCACTGCACCACGGAGGAAAGCGGCAGAAAGTCACCNATAATAAATGTAGTTGTAACTCAATTAATAAATGGGAATGTGTTTTTTTCTCATTGGTATAGATGTGTCCCCTGATCTGTGTTCGGCGCTCATGTGTTACAAATGTTAGTAACTCATAAGTAAATGGTCATAAAGAGATGCCAAAAACATCAAGATGAATGAGGGTGGAATCAACTCAGTGAACAACAGATACCAAGGATGTTGGCTGATGAAGAAGACGAAGTAAGCTAAGTAGCCAACATAAGGCTTAGTCATCTTGCCAAATAGTGAGCCTGTGTTGATGTATGAAAACTATGTAAGAACTGCTTTATAAATGGTTCTTAATGATTAATAAAGTGTTTACAACCTAATTCATAACCTAATTAGAAACCCTTTATGAATCCTTTATAAGGGTAGTCTTATTGTAAAGTGGTACCACACATTGTAACTGCAGCAGTTTAAACACGAGGCACTGCATTGTCTCATGTTCTTGTTAACACTCATTATCATTTCTCTCTTCTTTCCTATATTGTTCTGTCAAATCATTTCTTAGATCAAAGGGGAGGATGTGAACGTACCTAGAAGGTATTTCTTCAGCAGATACTGAAGGCCAAAGAACACACACTCACTGAACTGTGAGCCTTTCTTGCGTCTGCATTCAAAGTAAGAGTAGATTTTGCTGACATTTGGAGGATACTGCTTGTAGTGTGTGATCTGAAGGACACAAAACAGACATGTCAAGCATATTGAAATGATTTGAAACACGTGCAATGTAAGTCTCATGTAATGAACCCTTATTATACGAAATACTAATAAATAACTTTATCACACCAGAGTTGTATTGTAAAATGGAATCAAATAAAACTCCAGTATGCACATCAACAAGCTGTAACGTGATGTCTGCGTGCCGTGTACAGTGAACATGTTTCCTGGATCCACGTGGGAACATATGATGACAGTTTCAAGTACAAGTCTCTCTTTGTGCTCTTACAGCTCTAATTGAATAATCAACAGCAACAACCAGTCAGTCACTGGCTCAATTAGCTTCAAGAATACATTCTTCTGCTTCATCCTGTCCCCCATTTCACTTTCTGCTTCTTTTCCCCTTTTCTATCTTCAAGAGAACAAACCCAGAAAGTTACAAAACAGGGAAACTCAGGCCTCTTTACTGGAAGCAATATTAAGATTAGTCATGTATAAGATTACAATACCATTATTTAAGTGAAAGAAAAGTCGAGGAAAGTAGAAAAGTAGCATTTTAATGTCTTTTATTGAAATGAGCATTGCAAAGTCAACACATGATGTTCTTGAAAAGTCATTTTTTGGCATATCAGTGTTTCTATAGAGAATCCTGGCCAACCAGAGGAGTCAAATGATCTATAGAGTCCAAGCTCCTTTTGGTGTTAGTATGGAGTATGACATGAGGCGCGTTCACACCGCAGTACTTTTCCCACAAAGGTTCATGAGAACTTAGTTCATGAGAACTCTTTAGTTCTCATGAACTAAGTACGGATCGTGTTCACACCGGAATAAGTCCCTGAGGGAGGATTAGGCGACTGAAGCCGCTGTCGTCACTTCTTCTTCTTCTGCTGCTGCTGCTGCTGCTTTGGGTTTACTGGCAGACCGCAAACAACTTCACGGCGTATACTGCCACCCGAAGTCCCCGGCCGGAAGTCCCCGGAGTTGGGGACTGGCTTCAGTAGAAGCTGCTGGGACTCCCAGCAGCTTCTACTGAAGCCTTCCGAGTAAATCGCCAGAACGCTGACACCTCCTCATCACTCCACCGCTCCCATGTTTTATTTTGTGTTGCCATAAGTTAGTCTCTCTGCGTTTCTTCGCTGGGCTAATGCTAATCATGCTAATGCAAGGATAATAAAATGGCGGCTTCACAAAACTTTTTGGGATTTTGACGGGGCGTGGTTTGCATTCCGCCCAGCCAATCAGACATAGGAACCTTTTTCTCCCACGGAAGTACCTGCTCTCTAACAGGGACTGAAAAGAGAGTGAAAAGGCTCTCATTAACTAATTTTAGTTCCGGCTCTTTTTGGTGTGAACGCGACATTTAGGAACTAAAGTGGGAAAAGTACTGCGGTGTGAACGCGGCTATGGTGGAGGAGGGGTACTTTCACCTATTCTCATAACGTGTACATGAATGACTAAGACAGACTCTGGAACTCCCTGCCACTACATACCCCACAGTCTGATTCTATAACAACATTCAAAACCCAACTCAAAACCCACCTGTTCAAACTGTACCCTGTGTCTTTCTGTACTCCATTTCCTGTTGTTTGTTTTGTCTTACCCCGGCTGACTTAAATCCACTGTTTTAATGTTCCCTATATTACCCTATGCCCTGTAAGGTGTCCTTGGGTGCTATGAAAGGTGCCCCCCAAATAAAATGCATTATTATTATTAATCTGACCAACTAAGAGGATTTAAGAATATCTGTATGGTCGGTAAGATCCTGATGAACCATTTAATTAAAACTAGGGATGCACCGAATATTCGGCCGCCGAAAATTATCGGCCGAAAATGGTTAAAAAGGCCCTTTCGGCTTTCGGCCGAAAAAATACCACCGAATGTCAGAGAACAGGGTTACGTTGGTAAGCTAACGTGTTGTTGTGATGACGTAATCAAAACGCGGCGACAAGCACGGCGCGCGACCATGCTCGCGGCTGGCTCACAGCCAACATGTCTGGCGCTTGGAGATATTTAAAAATATCAGAGAAAGAGGCGCGGATTGCGATTTGTATGACGTGTTCAGATGACATTTCTCGAGGGGGTGTAACTGCAAAAACTTTCACCACTTCGGGATTACTCCACCACTTGAAATCAAAACACCCGGACAAATATGCGGAGTAAGATCAAATCACAAGCACTGACAGCGAGAGACTGTTCAGCGCTGCCTCTCATGTGCTTGATGAGAAGAGGAACAGACTTATGGCTGATAAAGCAGAGAAGCTACTGTTCATTAAAAAGAACCTCCCACTTTTCCTTAATAAGTAGACAAGGCTGGCTTATCATAAGCTTATCTAGTTCTACATGTCTACTCTATACCCACTTTCCTGAACAATTTTCATTGTGAGTTATAATTCACCATCTCAGGTTATCATTAGGGGGAAATGACAGCAGCACAGTGTTCAATATATTGTACTTTCGGTATCTAAATGATACAATGTTGTTTACATTGCTCATGAGGACAGACCACCTTATTTGCAGATTCTTGAAATTGTAATTTAATTTGTAATTGATTGTGGATTTTGTATCCAGTTTTCACTTTATGTATCTTTATACAATGTTTACTACTTTGCTTATGAGGACAGACAGCTTTATTTACAGATTCTTGAAATTGAATTGTAATTTCATTTGTAAATAGATTTTGATATCCAGTTTGCACATTTGTATGCATGCACTTATAGGTGCATTTGTTGTTGTTGAAGGCCTGGCTGTTACAGTCTTTATTTACACTATTTTGTTGTAGGCCTACTGGCCTAGATGTTTATGCAGTTTTAAAGCACCTTGGCTTTGTTCTGAATGCACTTTGTTGTAGTTATCCAACAGAGAAAAGAAAATGGACTTGACTTGGAATTAATGTACTGTATGCATTCAAAAGTGCTGAATAAATGTTTTATGGACCCATAATAGTGATTATTATTTAAGTTAAGTTTTGCCATAATCATTTATTTTTCCATAATCAGGCAGCTGAACAACATTGGTAAAAAATGTATACATTATATATATATTTCTATTAATCATTTTCGGGCATTCGGTTTTCGGCCAACCGTTTCCTATTTTCGGTATCGGTTTCGGCCAAGAATTTCCCATTCGGTGCACCCCTATTTGTAAGCATAAACATTATCTGCAATAGGCTAATGTTGACATGGCAGATTTATCACACACACACACAAAGTGCTTAAGTGAGAAAGACTGAACGTAAATCTGACCTTTGTTGTGTTGCCAGAATGCACTTCTAAAATGGGCAGAAATGTGTGAAAATCAATGTTTTCTCCCCTTGGGTCTGTTTCCCTCTCAGTCAGTGTGACAGACTCTGTAGCCAGCGCAGTGTTCCAGACCATGTTGACCGTGAGTCACAGAAAACGTCCGAAACTCTGCAAACAGCTTCTCAAACGCATCATGGGGTACCTGACGAGTCGTAGCGCCGCTCCAGGAGTGAGGTCAGAGAAGTGCCATTTCCACTTGAGTCCAGGAATAAGTCTCTACACCGTGACACGTTATGTAACTACTGTTTTCTTTTTGCCTTTTAGTCCCCTTCTGGTCTTTCTCAAAGACCAGGCCTCCAGCCACCTTGTTGAGATGATCATACAGCTTTCCCACAAGGCCCTCCTCCGGGACCTCTACAAGAACCACCTCAAGGGTCACCTGGTTGACCTCGCCCTCCATTCTATCGCCAACTTCCCCATCCAGAGGCTAACCGCAGCCTCGGCCAAACACACAATGGTTGGTCATTGTGTCTGCATGTCACACGGGGCAGGATTAAAGTAGCGTAATTGCAAGGACGACTCTTATTTTCCCCTCCTCTTTCTCCGTAGTTCTTGAAGTTGTTTGATGAGTTGATCCAAGGCGTGGAGGCCATCTTGGCCGCGGGACACATGGGTGTGATTGTCCAACTGGCCGAGAGCTGTGCAGAAAGTGGAGAGAAACAGGAAGACATGATTCAGTGCCTCCTCCGTGTAAGCGTCATCGTAAAGAAGATGTAACAGCCCCTCTGGGTCTTAAATCAACATAATAACATTTTGATGGATTTCTCCCTCTTTGTTTTGCCTCTCAGGCCTTCCACTGCGCTGAGCCCGGCACCCGCCACGTCAGCTGCCTCCCTCTCTTCATGTCTCTGATGACCTATGAGGTGTATTACCACTCTGAGACAGCAGAGGGCAACATCCAGACAGAGGTAAACGATCCAGAAGTGTCTAATGATCCAATCATTTGGCACTTGATTCTTGCAGTGTAATAATTATGGCTTTAATTCATTTAAAAAATAACGCAAAATAATCACACTACCAAGTTTGACTCCAACCTCCTCCAGTAAATAAGGCGCAGATTTTTACCATTATTATATTTACTTGTAATTTATGGGGTGATACAACACATATGTGTGGTGTTGTGATAAAGAAATGCATTACAAGCTTGTAAGAGAAATCTGAGGGTTTTGTACTTTATTATAACATGATTTATTGGCATGAACTCCGACCTTTTGCAGACACTAAGGTGGAGCATCGACCAACCACTTTGGACAACTGCAGCATATTTTGGTTTAATAAACTTTGTTCTCGTTCACTTCCAGGTCCCCCTGACCTCCATCTGTTACCATGGCTCCCGGCTGGTCCAGTCGCTGGCTAAGTTCAAGGAGCGCTCACTCCTCCTGAGCAGCCTGCGCACTCAGACCCCTGCTGACCTCCTGACGCTGGCCTCGGACCCCGCAGGCAGCCACGTCCTGCAGGCCCTCATCACCACCTCCAGCGACAAGGGGAGGGGCAAGATCCTGAAGAGACTGGAGGTACCACTACAGGGGCATTATGGGAATATTAAAGAAAAAAAAGCTGCCACAACATGAGAATCTTTCCTTTGAGCTGCTGGCAGTTACCATTCGCAGTTTCCTACGTCGGACCACTGATATAAACTGTTCTTATTTTTTGATGTATTGACAAAAGTCCCAATACCTACGTTTTGTGTATTTCGTTAAAAAACTATTTAATTTAATGAAAAGAAACGCAATACCATTACACATGTATTTTATGAAAATCTAAAAATGACAGGTAAATATGGATTATAAAGGACAACTAAAATCAAATGCAAACTTTTTTATAAAAAGATATATAATTTATTTCCCTGGCACTAAAGAATAATAAATAAAAAAAGAAAATCAACAGGAAGACATTACATTACATGTTACTTGTTAGACGCTTTTATCCAAAGGGACTTACATACTCAAAACTGTGGGCAATCCCCACAGGAGCAATTTGGGGTGAAAGTTGTCTCGCCCCAGGGCGACACAACGACATGCTGACCCTGCCAGTGCGGGTTGAACCTGTGCTTCCCCTGATCCGAAAAAAAAAGACATCTACATGTGGACATCAGCCAAATTGTTACTCTAAACCAGCGGGGGGTGGGTGAAGAGCCTTGCGCCTCGTTCAACTATCAGCATTGGAGGGCGGAGCCTCGCTGCGGACGCAGTGTCGCAACTCTACACAATGGCCGAATTTAACAAACAAATTTAAATAATGGTTAAACGGCATGGGGAATAAGGACGATCGCGGCCCGTTCTGTGATTCTCCGAGCACACAGTTATTGATATAGGAGTCAGATTTAGATGAGATCGCCTTGCTCCCTTTTAGAGATGATGAGAGGAGTGTGGCTTGTGCATGTGTGTTTGTGGATGGTTAGAGCTGACAGTAAGTAACGTGTGTATTGTTTCTGGAAGTGGAACGAGCGGATGCAGAACAGAAAACAAGAGGTCTGGTCGATGTATTTTGTGAAACAGAAGAACAACGTAAATAATGCAACGGCCCTCCAAAGAAGAGCTCGCTCAGTCTCCAGTCATTTAAGCTAAAGTGGGTTATTGAACTTGAAGCTTGTTGCTTCTTGCTCTCCTTGACTCACGGCCTCTGGGGAGCGACAGGAGAAGTTCAACACACAGATGGCCAGTCCGCGTCCCCTTGCAGCATATTATTTCGATGAGAGCATGAGCATGTTCGCCCACTGGGCTTTTGTTAACTAAATACACATAGCC